CCCAGTGTGGAGCCCAATGTGGGGCTTGAACTCTAGACCACCAAGATCAAGACCTGAGCTGAGACCAAGAGTCAGTCACTCAACTGACTGAGCTACCCAGGCACCCCTACATTTATTTTTTTAAGTACGCTCTATGCTTGAACCTATGACCCTGAGATCAAGAGTCCTATGCTCTACTGACTGAGCCAGTCAGGTGCCCATCTTTATTATACATTTAAAAGCACATTTTAAATATTTCAAATTTAAATGTACACTTAAAATTACTTTGTAAGCCTTTCCCCAAATCTTTGGGGTTTTTTTAATTTTTTTTTTTTTAGATTTATTTATTTATTTTAGAGAGATAGCACAAGTGGGAGGGGCAGGGAGAGGGAGTGAGAATCTCAAGCAGACTCCATGCTGAGTACAGAGCCCAATGCAGGGCTCAATCTCATGACCCTAAGATCACTACCTGAGCCAAAACCAAGAGCTGGAGGCTCAACTGACCAAGTAATTTTTTAAAAACATTTTATTTTATTTATTTACTTACTTTTATATAAAAAGATTTTGTTTTATTTATTTTTATAAGTAGGCTCCATGCCCAGTGTGGAGCCCAACAGGAGGCTTGAACTCACGACTCTGAGATTAAGACCTGAGCTGAGACTGAGTTGGATGCTTAACCAACTGTGCCACCCAGGTGCCCCAAGATTTTATTTTTTTTTAAAGTAATTTCTATGCCCAACATGGGGCTCGAACCTACAACCCCAAGATCAAGGGTCACACACTGCACTAAGATAGCCAGGCACCCTTTGAAAACATTTTAAGTAGCTGCATAGCATTCATCACAGCCCATGATTCTATTATTAGACACTTGGGCTTTTATTTTTTAATTTTTATTATGTTTTTAAAATTTTTTTTTAAAGATTTTATTTATTTATTTGTCAGAGAGAGAGAGAGAGCACAGAGGGAGCAGCAGGCAGAGGGAGAGGCAGGCTCCCCACTGAGCAGGGAGCCCGATGCGGGGCTCGATCCCAGGACCCCGGGATCATGACCTGAGCTGAAGGCAGACACTTAAGTGACTGAGCCACCCAGGTGTCCTTAGATATTTGGGTTTTTAAAAAACTTTTTAGCAACTGAAGTGTAGAAGAGTATCTACAGCACCCTATACTTTGAACAAGAAAGGAAGGGAAATAAGAAAATATACATGTATCTGCTCATTTGTATGAAAATAAACATAGGATAAGTCAACTAGAGATGAATGAGATTGGTGATGACAGACATGGCTGAGAACTGGCAGGGAAGGATGGAAGAGTGGGAGAAGGGTGGAGTGAGGTGCTCCAGGTACACTTTCTGCAGAGCCCTGACTTTTGGAACCATGCTAATGGGTCACACTTTCAAAAGAAATTAAATAGGTAAAATCAACAAGGGTAGTGGGGAAAGACTCCTAAAATGAAATATGAACAGAAACAAATAAGCAGAACTATATTTCAGATGAATAGCATAACTACACCAAGGGAGGGGGGGGAAAGTACTAAGCCAAGTAACTCAAATGCAGTATTTTGAAATCTTTATTTACTTAGGGATGCCTGCGTGGCTCAGCAGGTTAAGCGCCTGCTTCGGCTCAGATCATGGTCCCAGGGTCCTGGGATCAAGTCCTTCATTGGTCTCCTTACTCAGCGGGGAGCCTGCTTCTCCCTCTGTCTGCCATTCCCCCTGCTTGTGCTGTCTCTCTCTCTTTCTGACCAATAAATAAAATCTTAAAAAAAAAAAGATTTATTTATTTTAGAGAGAGAGAGAGCATGCATGTGCTGGCGGGAGAGGCAGAGGGAGAGGGAGAGAGACTCTTTAGCAGACTCCCTGCTGAACACAGAGCCTAATGTGGGGCTCAATCTCATGACCCTGAGATTACGACCTGAACTGAAACCAGGAGTCGGATGTTTAACCGACTGAGCCACCCAGGTGCCCCATGAACACAATATTGTGACTCTATACCTCTAGGCAAAAGAGAGAACTGTAAACTGATGCTGATGTCTCATTAGTAGGTTTGTTTTTTACGGTGGTATGGATTAGCTATTCTGAAACTATTTTCTCTGTATTCTAGGATTGAGCAATTTAGTAAATATATTGTGGAGCTGCCTTTCTCACTGTTAGAAAAGAGGAAACATGGAAGATGTTTGGAAATGGAAAAGAAGGAGACCTGAATAATGAACCCAGTGGTCCTGGATTAGAATCCAAAGTATCAATATGAACTCACTGTTTTTATTGATTGATTGACATAGGAGGGGGGAGGGGCAGGGGGAGAGGGAGAGAGAATCTTAAGCAAGTTCCATGCCCAGCGCAGATCCCGACACGGGGCTCCATCTCATGACCCTGAGATCATGACCTGAGCCAAAATCAAGAGTGGGATACTTAACCTACTGAGCCACCCAGGTGCCCCTGAACTCATTGTTTTTAATACATTGATTCATCTATAAATTGATCTGTAGATTGATCTATAAATAGCTACAGATGTTGGGTGTGTATAAAGAAATCCAAGTCAGTCGCAATGAACATGTAGTGCTCAGATCTTGGTTTCTAAATACTGTTCTCTGCTAGAAGGAATAAGGCTCCTTAAAGAAATGGTTGATTCCAGGGCAGAGGAGGGAAAGTAAAAAATGAACACGGAACATCTTGTTTTGCCAGAAATTAAAGAAAGTGCTCAAGGCATGATGGAAACGTGTCAGAAGGACCAGTAGCCAATTTGGAGGGGTGCCAAATGGCCATCAAAGTAACGAGCATCAGATAAGTGACTACAACAATTTTTAACTCATTGAATAAAATAAGAATTTATGAGGGGCGCCTGGATGACTCAGTCGGTTAAGTGTCTGCCTCTGGCTCAGGTCATGATCTCAGAGTCCTGGGATCGAGCCCCATGTCGGGCTCCCTGCTCAGTGGGGAGTCTGCTTCTCCTTCTCCCTCTGCCCCTTCACCCTGCTTGTGTTCTCTCTCTCTCAGATAAATAAATAAATAAAATCTTAAAAGAAATATCGTGAGTCCATACTCATATAAACAAAGACATAAGTAAAAGGGGAACAGGAAAAGCTTTCTTAGAGTACAATGCCAATAATTAATGTAGAATAAATGATGGAATTAGACAATCTCTATTTGGTGGCCATCATAGTAATAGCTGATTCTGTAAGAACGGATTTAGTCAGGAGTTATCAGTGGAAGCTTAAGTGGTAGTGTGTGCAAGTTTGATGAGCAACTGGATAACTACACAGTGTCAAAGTATCCCCTTAGAAGAAACTTACTAAGAAGCATCAGATACTATCTTAAGCAAGTGTTCAAAGTTTACACCACCAGTAATGGGACAAGTCCATATTGTGAGGACATACCACTTCTGTGGCAATGCTACCAAAAATGTATGACCTGAATCTCATCATGAGGAAACAGCAGAGAAACCTGAATTGAGGGACATTCTACAAAATAATTGGTTTGTACTCTTCAAAAATTTCAAGGTCATAAAAGACAAAGAAAGATGGATAACCTGTTCCAGATTTAAAGACATGGCAACAAAATTAGACAGTGATCCTGGATCATAAACACAAAACAATATAATTTTTTTCCCCTTTTGCTGTAAGGGACGTTCTTGGGAAAATCGACTAAATCTGGCTAACGTCTGTAGATTAGGTGATAATACTGTAATCATGCTAATTTCTTGATTTTGATAATTGTATAACCTATGGTTATATGGGAGAATGTCTCCATTTTTAGAAAATATACACTGAAGTCCAAAGTATTTAGGGGTAAAGATGCACCATGTCCACAATTTACTCTCAAAATTGTGTGTGTGTTTGTGTGTATATATTTGTGTGTGTGTGTGAGAGAGAGAGAGAGAGAGAGAGAGAGAGAGAGTGAGTGCAAGGGGAGAGGAAGAGAAGGATAAAACGAATGGTAGTAAAATGTTAACATTTGGGGAATCTTGGTGAAAGGTATATGAAATTCCTTATACTATCCTTGCAACTTTAACTTTTCTAGAAGTCTGGCATTATTTCATAACACACATATACACCTTTGACACTGAAAGTAATACACTGAATATCCTTGATCATAAATAATCTTTGTCTCCTTAGGCAATATCGATGTACCTGGCACAGAGAGGTTTTTGAATACTTGTAAATGTGGAGGAGCAAGGCAGTGGAAAAGGAGGACAAAAAAGGGTCAATCACAGGGGTGAAGGCGGGGTTGTGGAGCTGCAACTATGGGCCGTGCTCAGGATGAGCAGGAACCAGAAGCTAGAGTTCAAGGATCAGCAGATGGGGGCAGCGGGGTGGGAACCAAAGCCGATGACATTTGAGATGCTTTTCTGAAACATAGTCCTGTGGGTTTACCAACTGCCCGAGGTAATTTGGGATCCTTCCCTCAGTATGCATCCCTCTGGTGCGGGCCAGTTACCCACTGATGAGTCACACTGAGTCCCTGAGCCTTTCCTGTTGGCATTCAAGAAGCAGCCCCAACTTCTTCACCCAGTCCATAGTTATGAGCTAGTGGATTACTCCATGATGTAAGTAAACAATCTACACTAAGCTTTCATTTTAAATGCCCATAATACATTTCATCAAGTATATGTATCAGTGGGCTCTCATTGAGTATTTGCCATTTGCTGTTAGAAGTCAACTACACTAAGTGCTTTATGTGGATTATCTCATTTAATCCTCCCAATACTCCCATGGAATGGTACTAGTATAGTCCGTTCAATTGATGAGGAAAATTAAGTCTAGAGAGGTAAGTTAAGGTAAGACCTGCTCTATGTCATAAGGCTTTGAGTCAAATCCATGAGTTTGACTCTAGAGTCCCCACTCCAAACCCCAATGCTAGGATGGATAAAACATTTTAATTAGGAAGAAAAAAGGGAATCAATCATAAATTGAAAACTGGAAGTTAATAAACTGGGAGCTTAGGATGAAAATGATATTCTGTGAAATACACATTCCATTTTTCCATTCTGTAATCTTCCAAACATTCACCTGATAAAGCAAACGTACCTGACAGAAGAGCTGCTGGGTTCCTGCTCCAGGTGTGTTACTAAAGGTGCTGGTAGATTTGGAAGAAGAAACTGGAAGACGATGAGACACGCTGACGGGTACCGGAGTCCTGTTTGGCTGGGTCAGCTGGTCTCCCGTAAAGTTTGATCCTGTTGCTCCCGACTGAACCGCAGACCCAAGACTAGGATGGGCAGTGCTGGAGGAGCTGACAACAGGGAACCGACTAGGTCCTGACATGCTGGTCACCGAGGGCATGGGGGTGAAGCCAGGTCTTCCTTGGGAGACGCTGCTCTGCCCAGGTGACAGGTGTAATACGGTTGGCGATGCCTGCTGCAAGGGCATCTGTCCACTGACGATCTGAGGAGAGGCATGATTGACTATCACTGGGCTTCCAGAGGCGGCAAACGTCTGCCCAGACACTAACTGGACAGCAGCATTCTGGTTGTTCAGCATCTGCCCAGAATACGGTTGGTTGGTCCTGAGCATGTTGGAAGAGTTTCTGTTCAACATGACATGCTCTGAGGCCACTTGGCCGGAGATGAGCTGAGAAGGTTGAGTCTGAAGCAGTTGCCCATTTATGGTCTGGACGTGGTGTACCGAGTTGGAACTGACGGAAAGGCTTGTGGGTATGAGGAACTGACTTTGGGGTGTGTGAGGCTGGCCCATGGGAGAATGAATAACAATACTACCCCCAGCACTGCTCACAGCCTGTGAGGTGACCGGTTTTCTTGTGTTCTGTTGGTTTACAATGTTCACAGACATGTGCGGACCAACTACGGAGCCCGGGGGTGAGCTGGCAGAGGCAAAAGAGATCCCTTGTTGAACATGGTGCTGTTGTATTCCCAAATTGTTCACATTGTATGTATTCTGCTGGCCCATCTGGATAGGCTTTGGCTGGATATTAATTGGAACTTTATTTGAATTTGGTGCAAGACCCCTCTGTATGATGATGTTATGCACGGGTAAAGACGTCTGAAAGTTTGTGCTGTTAAATGGAACGGTGACAGGCTGTGCTACTGGACTGGAACTGGAGTTCCCAAACAATGAGTTGCCGTTAGGAGTCTGTCTATGGACCAGGAGCCCTCCACTCACATTTGATGGGGCTTGCTGCCCGCTGCCCTTCAATATGATTTGAGATCCATCTAGGTTATTAATAGTCATCATGGAAGGTTGATTACCAAATGACCCAATTAACTGTATTTGACCAGAGCCGCTAATCTGACTGCTGTTAGACAGATGCTGGCTGGGCACACTGATCCCCACGTGCTGCATAAAGCCATGTTGCACACCCACCGTATTGCTTGCAAATGATGCTCCGACAGGCACGTGAGTCACCCCTATAGGCTGCAGCGTCTGACCTGAGTAATTCGAAACATTAGAAGCCTGAGTAAAGGATGCTGATGAAGACGGATGAAGCTGAGCTTGTGCAAACTGTTGGCTTGAACCTACACTGGCATCCAAATATGCCTCTTCGGCCAGTGTCTGTTCAGTGATATTGGCCTCCTGCAAGGATTTCTGAAGAATGTCGAAAGGTTGGTCCTCACTGAGATCAGGAAGAGGAGAAGACTCAAGTTCATCTTCCAGAAACTGAAGGCTACTTGAGAGTGGCAGTCCATCACTGGGCCCTTCTCCAAGCTGGTTGCTTACAGCTTTGAGGGATGACTTAGGATCAGCATTCTAAAAGAATAAGCAGCGTGTTACCTGGCATATCGAACCTTTGAAAGAGATTCTTAAAAAAAAAAAAAAAAAAAATAATAATAATAATAATAAAAAGCACCTCACTTTTGAATAGAATAAAGCCTAACAGTCTGCTTTTCAGGTACATCTCTCCAAAGTGCTCAGCTTATTCTGATATTCTATTTCCTTAGTAATATCTAACACTGTTTCTGTTAAGTGTGCCTATTCATTGCTCTGGTAAATTATTTTATAGAAAATAGATAAATAACAGGAACATACTGATGACTACCTGGAGTTTAGCTTCATTTTTTGAGATACTGGCACACACTTGATTTTTCAGGATTGCCCCCAGTCCAGGGCTTGAGTGAGACTCAGCCCAGGGTGTGTGTGTATCCAGGAGATGGCCATGTCTAGTCCCCTGTATGACAGTAATCCGAGTGACTTTTGGGCATTCTGGGTATTGTTCTGTTAGAGGTCCAGAAGGTAGCCCAGAGTTAGCCCTGTCTTTCGAGGCTTCTCTTTGAGTTTGGTGCAAGACCCCTCTGTATGATGATGTTATGCACGGGTAAAGATGTCTGAAAGTTTGTGCTGTTAAATGGAATGGTGACAGGCTGTGCTACTGGACTGGAACTGGAGTTCCCAAACAATGAGTTGCCGCTAGGAGTCTGTCTATGGACCAGGAGCCCCCCCCCCAGTTCTAACCCCTAACACCCTAAGCAAGACTGGTTCACACAAAAACAAGCTCCTCACATAAAATGAGTGAACGGTCGTTTGATTTCTTAGAAGGAATCAGCCTATTATGACGCTTTCAAAACTACTTTCAGTGTCCTATTCAAAAGTAAAGGTCCATCAACAGTTTATTTATCGAGCACCCACTTGTGTGTTAGTTTCTGTCCTCAAGGAGCCCTTAGGAATGGGCATTCCAACTAGAGACAACACAGGCATACGAAGAAAATGGAACATGGTAAGCAAGATACACTCCACTGTCCAGCAGGTTTTTTGGGGACAGGTCAAGATTAGAAAAGAAAAGATGGTCTCAACAGCTATTTAAAATAAGGTGGGGGGGGGGGGGCGCGCCTGGGTGGCTCAGTCATTAAGCATCTGCCTTCGGCTCAGGTCATGATCCCAGGGTCCTAGGATCTAGCCCCGCATCGGGCTCCCTGCTTGTGTTCCCTCTCTCACTGTGTCTCTCTCTGTCAAATAAATAAAATCCTTAAAAAAATATATATTTCTACTAAAAAAAATTTCTACTATACCTGACATGATGGAATAGAAGTACCCAATAAATACATACTGAATGAAGCAGTCTGAAAAGTTAGAATTAATACTAACATGGAAGGAGGAGGGTTGGTAAATAAAAATCATGAACATCGAGGGGCAGGCTAAATATCTACTTTATGGGCTTCATGGCACCACATGAAGTTATTACTTGTTCAGAATGAATTTCAGAAATGCTCCTGGTTCGCAAGCCTTACCGGAGATCAGTGTTGTGACTTTAAAACCACCCCTAGCATGTGGAGGTGTCTCGCATGATAGGATCCGACATAACTTACACACACTCAAATACTTGAAAGAACTGTGCACCCCCAAGGACCTTCCGAACACTATTCCGTGTTATAGATGAAGAAAATAAAGGCCCTGCTGATAAGTTAACATTTATTGAGCACTGTACCAAATAATTTCCACGGACTAGTCAATTAATGTTAACCAACCTAGGAAATAGTTCTATTATTCTCCTGGTTTCATAAATAAGGAAACTGAACCTTACAGAGATGTAGTGATAGATCCAAGGTTACACGTCTAGTAAGTGGTAGAGTGAGGGTTCAAACTTGGGCAGTCTGACTCTGGGCTACCATCCATGATAGAGGAAGGCACTTGAAAAGATGAAAGTATCACAGGCTTAACCATAGTTATCTGGATGTCATCCGCAAGCAGGACTTCCCTATCCCCCAGAGGTCAGATTTCTTGTCCAGATGCTCCTAGAGCTTGAGAATATGAATCCAGAATGGGCAACCTGAGGGAGAAGCCTAGCTCTACAACTCCTGGCTGTAGACTTTTGAGTAAGTACTAACCTCTCTGCTTTGGTTTCCTCATGTATAAAATACTGATCATAAAAGAACCTACTTCATGGAGTTACCATGTGGATTAATGTGGTTGATCTTGCTAAACCCTTGGCGCCAAGAACATACTAAGTGCTCAGTAAGTTTTAGTCATTACCTTTTTTTTCTCGCTTAAGATGGAAATGTTTAGTAAGTAACTACAATTAAGAATAATTTCTTTAAAGCTTTGTGATAAGGTCTAAAACATTCTAATATGACTTTCTTAGGTTATCACATTTTGGAGTCATTTTAGAAAGACAGGTGAAAGCTTGGGAAAATGGCAAAGTAAATCTCATATAGCTTATCTGAGTCCACGAAGTTAAAAGGAGACAATGTCAACACCATTCAGTAGATCCTCCCTCCGTGTCAATTACAAGAGACAAGGTAATAACTCTCATCAGGCTCCAAAGGCAAGGAAAGCCTCGGTTCACAAGCCGTCAATGAGACAGAAACACTTTATCACTGGATTCAGTTTCCAATACTCACACTGGAGTTGGCGAAAATTGAATTTGAATTGGCTGCAGAATATCCTGCATTCGTCAAGTCATCATTGCTCTGCAAAGGTACAAATTTGATAAAGTGATTACTTTAACTGTAAAGAAAAGACAAAATTTGTATCTGTGATGCTCTAAATATTACTTACAGATTTATTACTAGGTCCATGTAGAAAATAGTTCAATGCTTGTGGGTCTCTGGAAAACAGCAACAAAGAAAGGAAAACAGCAAATAAATACGTGACCTATATTTGGGATTCATTTTCACTAGGGTAAAAAGAAAATGACGTATTAGCCTGAGAAACATTCTCTCCCTATTTTTAAACAATTTTATTAATCGTTTTATTATTGATTTCTTGATGTTGTTCCATTTCCTATTATCACTCATTTCTGCCTCCTGGGATTTGTTAGAGGTAAATTTAATAAAGGATGGCCTATGAACCCTGTCATATCCAAATATTTTTGTCTCTTTATTTGCTAATCCATATTCTATGTTGACTTTCATTTTAAAAACCCACCCAGTTTGTGTGTTGTTGTTTTTTTTAATTTTAAATAATCTCTACTCCCAACATGGGGCTTGAACTCATGACCCCGAGATCAAGAGTAACATGCTCCACCGACTGAGCCAGCCGGGCACCCCAAAAACCCACCCAGTTTTTAATATGCTTATTAGGTTGTTTTAGTACAGCAAACCTCACACATTTGATTTACCCTGATTTTGGAACGAGCATCTTACCCGATAAGATCAAGGAGACACGAGTCATCATCATCATCCATGACAACTATAAGAAAAGGAATAAAGAAAGTGCCGGTTAGCCAAGCAGATTAAAGCAGATTAAAGCATCAATACAACATAAAAATACACTCTTTACTTTCCTAGATAAGTAACTGTGTAATTCACGTACGTTTTTTCTCTAACATGCTTGTTTTTAATGGGATTTTTAAAATTTTGTGGTCATTCAAGAGACTAAATATTCAATTTAAATTGTTTTTATTGAACGCAAATCCTTAACTTACAAGTCAAAAAGGAATCTAGATAAATCCAAGATAGCTGGCAGCAACCCTTCCCACACAGATTCCCCAAAGGGACTGTAAACCAGGAACAGCCACTTCCTCAAAATGTATCATGAAAAAGGGGGAGAAATAATATTTTTGTTTTAGAAAAAAAAATCTCATGTATGCAGAGGCCTGTTGCGTTTTATGGCTGACTGTTTCCAAACATGGTGAGCAATCTGGATTTCTTGCCATATTTTGGCTCTCTTTATAAAAACAGAAAAAGCCAGTTCTCCCTACTTTTTGAGACAGAGGAGACACCATAGCCCCAAGCAGTTCTGCCTCAAGCTTGGCCCCAGAGGTCCCAGGTTCCTCCCCGGGCAGCAGCACCACCAACTGTTTGATTCCAAACAATCTATATCCCATCGCTAGAATCTTTAAAGTAGAAAATCTCAACCCCCAACTCCCCCCGGCTCCGGGCCCCAAGCTCCCTCTCTCCCCAGCCACCGACAGCTATCAAGCTCAGCCAGCTCGATTACTGTGCTCTGGCTGAAACAATAACCACTGGACAAGTTCCAAGAGCAGTTCTCCCCCTTTCTCCTCCCTCCCCCGAGATCCGGTAAACTTACACTAGTGATCCGACACCTGGCAACACTGCTTCGCACCCATTTCGAGCCATGCGTGGAATAATTTACATCACGGAATGCCGGGGCCAAGAGTTCTGGAGCAGTTGGAAAGGGCAGTTGTGAACGGCAGTTGGACGGAGGAATGAAATCCTGAAGAGATGCCCAGAAGAGGGACACGCCCGGAGAAGGCAGAAGGGATAATTTCTACTCAATGTTTTTTCTTGGTTGAAACTGTCATCTCCTCTCCAGTTCCCCCAAACTCCCCATCCTATCAGTCACAAGGCCAAACAAGTATAAAACTGGCTCCTGCCACATGGAAGGAAACTTGCTTCCTCCAGGAAGGGTCTGGAAGGGGTAAGTATCCCCCAGTGTGAGACCTTCCTGTTGGGGGGGGGTGAATTCGTTCAGTTGCTGAATGGCCTGGGGTGATCAGAAGTGGAACTGTGGTGGAGAGGTGAGATGACTGGTGAGACAGGAGGAAGAAGAGGGGGAAAGCTGATCCAAGGGTAATGTCCAGGCTAAAACTGTGAAAGGGGCAGCAGACCAGGTGAAATCTGCTTTGAGGACTCAGATGTGGAGTTACAAAGGAACATGCTAGCACGACAGTACTTCTGAGCAGTGAAAATGTCACAGGAAGGGAAAGCGAGGAAACTATAAGTAAGTAGATATATAGAAGTCTGTGGGAAGGGCTTCCCTTAAATCCTGATACTTAATATGGCAGAATTGCATCAGCCACAGCTCATTATTGTGCCATGAGCTTGTCTCCCAGATATCACAATCACATGGAAGAAATTGGGCAATTTCAACATACCACCAAGCCCATAAAGTGGATATTATTTCTTTACTCTGACACGACTTTTGAAATGGAGTTCCACTATATCCTTTGTAAATTATTTTTTATAGGGTTCAACAGTTTCTGGAACAAACTAAGAAAAATGTAAGTGAAAACTAGCCTGTACCGAGACCACCTTTCACAACTATCCCAGCTTCCCTCACGATTTTACACCTGTGTGAGCTCCTCTAGCAGAGGAGACATGCAAGGGTTAACACACTGAGAGAGGAAGTCAGCACCAGTCACTCTACCAAGGTGTCACCGCCACTGGGACTTTCAAGCACAGAGAACATCTGCCAAAGTTTGAAGTGACAAGCTACTCCTTGAGTAGCACAAATAAGAGAACAATTTTATAATACTGGATGAAATTAACAGCCATTGTGGAGCCTCCCCTATCAAACTGAACAGGCTGCTCAAACAGTTGACAAAACACTCCCCGAGGATGCCTGTCCCAGTCAGTGGCATCTGTCCTACCAGACAGGTCTCTGCCTTTGGGTAGAACTCCACGAGCCTTTATAGTCAGGGGTACCCTGAGAATTCTACCTTTTAAAGGGCCATACTCTTTTCTGACCTTAAACAGTTTCAAATTAAAAGAGATGACTCCTATCCCTATGTCTCCAGCTCCACGTCCGGCCAAAACATTAGTCATCCTCCGCCTAATCCAGCAGTTCTTTCCCCAGGAGGACACACGGTCCACCAGAATAACTTACCAAAGGAGAGGTGTAGAAATTGACAACAATTCGGAGTGGGAAGACAACCTGAGGATCAGAAACTAATGACTTCAAGAGTGAAGAGTTCAGTTCTCTTTGGAAAGGTTCTCCCTTTCCTTGCTGAGACTCTTTTCTCCTCAAAGTAACAACCCTGGAATCACTAAGTGGGCCTCTGGCCACAAGTGAAATTTGTAACGTGGGAAAGAGGAGTCCCCCCTCTTTTTCCCTCTTACGGAAAACCTTTAGATCAATGGTTAAAAACTACTTCTTGGCTCAGCACACTTGAGCGAGACACATTCCCCTCAGGAACAGCAGCTTAATGACAGTAGGATTTGTCACAGAGGGAGGGAGACTGTAGTTCTTACAGAATCCTGACAGGCATCCCAAGAGGTCAGAAAACACTACCCCAGACACCTGATTACCACTTTTTTTTTTTTTTAAGTAGGCTCCATGCCCAACATGGGGCTTGAACTCACGACTCTGAAATCAAGACCTGAGCCAAGATCAAAAGTCGGAAGCTTAAATTCTGCATGGTAAAGGAAAAAAACTATAAACAAAGGCAAAGACTAAAAAAAGTCCAAGAAACCTAAGTGAGAAAAATACTCCCAATTTATATCAGAAAAGGCTTTTCTCCCTAATACATTAAGAGCTCCTATAACCAAGAAAAAGTTATCCTGCAGAATATCAAAGGGTATGAACAATCATTCATTAAAATAGGAAAGTAGCCCTTAAACATATAAAAATAATCAACCTCACTTTGAATAAGAGAAATATAAATTAAAATTTCAGTGAGATACTATTATCAGACTGGCAAAGATAAAAAGGTTTGGTGAAGGACTATGCTGATCAGTAAGTGGGGAAATGGGAACTTTTACACCTTGCTAGTAAGAGTGTATACTCCATAACCTCTGGCGAGGACAATTTAGCAGTACCTTCCAAAATTTTAGGTGCACAAATCACTCTACTTAGCAAATATTTCCAAGTACGTGTCCCACAGATATTCTTGCCCATGTGTGGAAGTATATGTGTATGAGAATATCCAGTGCAGCATTATTGCCTTTAGCAAAAGACTGTAAAAGACCTAGATGTCATGGGTACGGGGTTTCTTTTTGGGGATGATGAAAATGTTCTGGAATTAAATCACTGAACTGGACACTTTAAAAGGGTGAATTTTATGGTATATAAATTATAACTTGATTTAAAGTATTAAAAAAAAACCCTAGACGTCCTAATGAGAGACTTGTTAAATCAGGTTGGTTTACCCACATAGCCATTAAAAAAAATGGGGAAGCTTACTACATAGCCATTAAAAACCGTGGGGAAGCTTTATACAAACTGACTTGGAAAGATACATGGTCAAAAGAAAAAGATACAGGGGCGCCTGGGTGACTCAGTCGGTTAAGCGTCTGCCTTCTAAGCGTCTGCCTTCGCCTTAGGTCATGATCCCAGGATCCTAGGATTGAGTCTGCATTGGGCTCCCTACTCAGCGGAGAGTCTGCTTCTCCCTCTCCCTCTGTCCCTCCTCCCCGCTTGTGTTCTCTCTCTCTCTCAAATAAATTTAAAAAAAAAATCTTAAAAAAAATAAAGTTTAAAAAAAGGAAAAGGGTACAGAACAGTGTGTACATTATAGTATGTTCAATCTTTCCTCTACCTTCTTGAACTTAAGAAAATTAGCGATAAATTTTTTTTTTAAAGATTTTATTTATTTATTTGAGAGAGAGAGAATGAGAGAGAGCAAGCACATGAGAGGGGGGAGGGTCAGAGGGAGAAGCAGACTCCCCGCCGAGCAGGGAGCCCGATGCGGGACTCGATCCAGGGACTCCAGGATCATGACCTGAGCCGAAGGCAGTCGCTTAACCAACTGAGCCACCCAGGCGCCCTAGCGATAAATTTTTAATATCCTTCTCCACTAATTCTATCATTTGTATCATGTCTGGGTCTCTTTCAATTAATTGATTTTTTTTTTCTCTTCATTACTGGTGGTATTTTCCTGCTGCTTTGCATACCTGATAAATTTTTATTGGATGCCAGACATTGTTAATTTTATGTTATTGAGTACTGGTATTTTTGTATCCCTATAGATATTCTTAAACTTTGTCTAGGACACAATTAAGTTACTTATTTTTTTTTAAGATTTATTTATTTACTTTAGAGAGAGAGGGAGTGGGGGGAGGGGCAGAGGGAGCAGGAGAGAGAGAATCCCAAGCAGACTCCGTTCTCAGTGCAGAGCCTGATGTGGGGCTTGATACCGTGACCCTGAGATCATGACCTGAGCCGAGACCAAGAGTCAGATGCTTAACTGACAGGCACCCCTCAATTAAGTTACTTATAAATCATTTGATCCTCTTGAGGCTTGCTTTTAAGTTTTGTCAATCTTCACGGCTAATTTTGCCCTATTCTGAGGCAATCCTCTTCACTTGATGAGTACTCACTTGATGTCTTATGAATTGCAAGGATTTCTGCACTCTCACAGGTAGGAACACAAACCATTTTCCGCCCTGGATAAATACTGTTTGATTTGACATATCAAACTTCTTTAAGGGGCGCCTGGGTGGCTCAGTCAGTTGGGCAACTGCCTTTGGCTCAGAATGTGGTCTCAGGGTCCTGGGGTCAGCCCCACA